CATTAAAAAAAAAAAAAAAAAAACAGAGGAATTTAATTTAGCGGAATTAAATAAGGGTGGCGAGATTTTCACATACATAGAGAGTGACGTGTTTATGAATTTTATCGTGGAAATGAAAAAGAAAGGTATCGAATCAATACCAGAGTCAGGAAGCAAGCGAAAGCCAACGAGATAGCCAAAATCGTCGGTTTCTCTGGCCAAGACGAGAGCTCTATCGTCTTTCTGGCGAGAGAGTTCGTCTTCGAAGGCGAAAGGTCCATCCGGTGAAGCAGCGGCGCCACCTTGAAGGTTACTGGGAAGTGATCGCAATTTGAAAGTCCTAGTTTTTCCTCTTAGCAGAGAAAGGAAAGTGGGTGAATTGGAGTAAGCTTGAGGCGATAACGACGATGGTGCGCGTGGATGGAGGTGAAGGAGAGGAAGGAGTTTGAGAGAGTCCATGCGTGTGAGAGGAGGGAAGGGATCGGTGGTTGGCAAATGAGAGATAACAAAACAAAAAGACAAGTTAGACACTCGACACTCGACACTCGACACTTCACATGACGTGAGAGGTGCAACTTAGATTTGGAAAGAGAAAACACGTACCATGGCGTCAGATCCAGAAAAAGCGCCAACTCCCAGGCTATTTATTAAAGATCTTCGCTTTATCTTTTTTTTATTTATTTATTATTATTATTTCTTTTTCTTATTCAACTTATTTAATGAGAATGTCTCCCATGATTTTACTTGTTCCTTTTTTGCTTATATATGATATCATCAATATTTCTTTTTCTTACTCTTTCATAAATACTTTGATATGTTATTATTAGTATTTAATGCCAATTCCTATTTCTAAAATTGTAATGTTTATAGTAGTATTCAATGGGTTTTAATTTAATGTGTTAGTATTGTTTTATCATTATGCCATTTTAAGTTCAATTTTATTTTTATTGTTTAATATTTGTGAAAAATTGTTTATTCTTATTATCACTATTTTATACCAGATCTTATTTATGCCTACTAGCAAATATATAATTATTGTCATTCTTGTATGTCTACATTTTTATTACACTATTTGATATACAACAAATTCTTTTATTATATTGCATTGATGTATATATAATACTATAGGAATATAGTAGAATGAATTAACATACATGTAAAATCAATTATTATCATATCCGTGGGTCCATATTTTTATTATGTTAAATTTAATACATTATAACAATTTATTTTTATCATGCATGAACATGTAATAAATAAATGCAAACAAAAAATACAATAGTGCCTATCTTTATTTGTAATTCAATGTGATGTATTTTATATAATGTTCATTCAACTTATTGTTTTCAAAAAGGAAGTTATTTGTTCTTACATAATTTTTTTTTTGAAAGAACATAAGCTTCAAATCCCGTTGCAATTCTACAAGAAAAAAATCTGCATACGCGATGCATTTGCTCAAGTGTTTGGGAATAATTGAAAAAAAAAATGTAAATTTTTTACTTTTTGAAATATTTAAATATCATTTAGCCGGGAAATTAGTTTGGTTCTCATTCACATTAGCCTTATTAAGCACTAGTATGGTATTCATTCAATACGATAATTCAAAACTGTACATTTTTAATGGAAAGAAAACACTCAAAAAAACATTAATTTTGACAAAAAAAAAATCAAACTTTTTTCTTACATGCGAAACAGAACATAAAATGGGGTTCCTAATAGCATCACAACCTCACATTCTCACTTTTTGGGTGTTTGGGGGGGGGGGGGGGG